TTTTACCGATTTAGAACCCGAAAAACTAGATTATTCCGACTAGCAACTCAGAAAATTGATTTTTCTGACATAGAACTCGGATAAATCGATTTTTCTGAATTATAACTCGGAAAAATCGATTTTTCTGACTTTCAACTCACAAAAAGGATTTTTCTTGTTTAAAACTCGAAAAAATAGATTATTCCGACTGGAAACTCGAAAAAATTGATTTTTCTAACATAGAACTCAGATAAATCGATTTTTCTGACTTATAACTCGAAAAAATCAATTTTTCTGATTTAAAATTCGAAAAAATAGATTATTTCGACTGGCTACTCGGAAAAATAGATTATTTCGTCTGGCAACTCGGAAAAATTGATTTTTCGGACTTAAACCTCTGAAAAATTAAATTATTCCGACTTGCAACTCGGAAAAATTGATTTTTCTAAAATAGAACTCGGAAAAATCGATTTCTCCGACTTATAACTCGAAAAAAAAAAACAATTTTTCTGATTTAGAACTCGGAAAAATGAATTTTTCTAACTTAGATCTCGAAAAAAATAAAATTTTTCGACTTAGAACTTTTTAAAAATAAATTTTTTCGACTTAGAACTTTTTAAAAATAAATTTTTTTCGACTTAGACCTCGATAAAATAGATTATTTCGATTGGCAACTCGGAAAAACTGATAAAATAAATTATTCCTACTTAAAACTCGGAAAAAAATGTAATTTTCCAACTTATAACTTGAAAACATAGATTTTTTGACATATAACTCGGAAAAATAGAGTTTTCTGATTTAGACCTCTGAAAAAATAGATTATTCCGACTTGCAACTTGGAAAAAAAAATGATTTTTATCCCTTAAAACTTTTAAAAATAGATTATTCTGACTTAAAACTCAAAACAAAAATTATTTAGACTTGCAACTCGGAAAAATTATTTTTTTTGCGCAAGAAATCGTAAAAACAAATCATTTCGACTTAGATCTTGAAAAAATAGATTTTTCCGACCTAAAACTCGAAAAAAGTTAATTTTTCTCACCTAAAACTTTAAAAATTCGAATTTTTTGACTTAAAACTCGAAAAAAAATTAATTTTTCCTAATTCAAATTAAAAAAAAAAAATTGCAACTCAGCAAAATTTATTTTTCGGACTTAAGACCTCGAAAAAATAGATTTTAAAATCGAAAAAATCCACTTTTTTGACTTAAAACTAGGAAAAAATAAATCATTTCGACTTAGAACTCCGGAAAATCGATTTTTTTTTGACTTATAACTCAAAAAAATAAATTGTCCTTACTTAAAATTTGAAAAAATAGATTATGCTGACTTACAATTTGGAAAAATAGATAACTGAGACTTTAAATTCGAAAAAATAGATTTACAAAAATAAATTTTTCCGACTAAGAACTCAAAAAAAATATATTATTCCGACTTGCATCTCGGAAAAATTGATTTTTCTAACTTAGAACTCGAAATAGATTATTTCGACTTAGAATTCAAAAAAATCTATTTTTATGACATAGAACTCGAAATGATAGATTATTTTGACTTAGAATTCGGAAAAATCGATTTTTCTAACTTGCAACTCCTAAAAAATAAATCGTTTCAACATATAACTCAAAAAATAGATTATCTTGACTTAGAATACGGGGAAAAATACATTTTTCCTAATAAGAACTCGAAAAAATAGATTATTCCAACTTACAACTCAAAAAAATAAATTATTCCAAACTTGCAGCTCAGAAAAATTGATTTATTTGACTTAGAACTTGGAGAAATGGATTATTTCGACTTAGCACTCAAAAAAAATAAATTCTTTCCTACTTAGAACTTGAAAAAATTAATTATTTCTACTTAGAACTCAAAAAAATATATTATATCGACTTGTAACTCGGAAAAATTGATTTTTCTGACATATAACTCCAAACAATCGATTTTTCTGACTTAGAATTCGAAAAAAATAATTTTTTTCGACATAGAACTAGGAAAAATTGATTTATCTGACTTAGAACTCAAGAAAAATAGATTATTTCGACATAGAATTCGGAAAACTCGATTTTCAGACTTGCAATTTGGAAATAAAGTAGATTATTCTTACTTAAAACTCAGAACAAAAATTATTTAGACTTGCAACTCGGAAAAATAAATTTTTTTGCGTAAGAAATCGCAAAAACAGATCATTTCGACTTAGTATTCGGAAAAATCGATTTTTCCGACTTGAAACTCAGAAAAATCGATTTTTTTTGCCTTACAAACTCGGAAAACAAGATTTTTCTGATTTACAGCTCGAAAAAATAGATTATTCCGACTTAAAACTTGGAAAAATAAAGTATTCAGACTTAGAACTAGGAAAAAGTAAATTTTTCCGATTTAGAACTCGAAAAACTAGATTATTCCGACTAGCAACTCAGAAAATTGATTTTTCTGACATAGAACTCGGATAAATCGATTTTTCTGAATTATAACTCGGAAAAATCGATTTTTCTGACTTTCAACTCACAAAAAGGATTTTTCTTGTTTAAAACTCGAAAAAATAGATTATTCCGACTGGAAACTCGAAAAAATTGATTTTTCTAACATAGAACTCAGATAAATCGATTTTTCTGACTTATAACTCGAAAAAATCAATTTATCTGATTTAAAATTCGGAAAAATAGATTATTTCGACTGGCAACTCGGAAAAATTGATTTTTCGGCTTAGACCTCTGAAAAATTAATTTATTCCGACTTGCAACTCGGAAAAATTAATTTTTCTAAAATAGAACTCGGAAAAATCGATTTCTCCGACTTATAACTCGGAAAAAAAAACAATTTTCGTGATTTAGAACTCGGAAAAATGGATTTTTCTAACTTAGATCTCGAAAAAAATTAAATTTTTCGACTTAGAACTTTTTAAAAATAAATTTTTTTCGACTTAGACCTCGATAAAATAGATTATTTCGATTGGCAACTCGGAAAAACTGATAAAATAAATTATTCCTACTTAAAACTCGGAAAAAAATGTAATTTTCCAACTTAAAACTTGAAAACATAGATTTTTTTTGACATATAACTCGGAAAAATAGAGTTTTCTGATTTAGACCTCTGAAAAAATAGATTATTCCGACTTGCAACTTGGAAAAAAAATGATTTTTATCCCTTAAAACTTTTAAAAATAGATTATTCTGACTTAAAACTCAAAACAAAAATTATTTAGACTTGCAACTCGGAAAAATTATTTTTTTTGCGTAAGAAATCGTAAAAACAAATCATTTCGACTTAGATCTTGAAAAAATAGATTTTTCCGACCTAAAACTCGAAAAAAGTAAATTTTTCTCACCTAAAACTTTAAAAATTCGAATTTTTTGACTTAAAACTCGAAAAAAAATTAATTTTTCCTAACTAAAATTAAAAAAAAAATTGCAACTCAGCAAAATTTATTTTTCGGACTTAAGACCTCGAAAAAATAGATTTTAAAATCGAAAAAATCCACTTTTTTGACTTGAAACTAGGAAAAAATAAATCATTTCGACTTAGAACTCCGGAAAATCGATTTTTTTTGACTTATAACTCAAAAAAATAAATTGTCCTTACTTAAAATTTGAAAAAATAGATTATGCTGACTTACAATTTGGAAAAATAGATAACTGAGACTTTAAATTCGAAAAAATAGATTTACAAAAATAAATTTTTCCGACTAAGAACTCAAAAAAAATATATTATTCCGACTTGCATCTCGGAAAAATTGATTTTTCTAACTTAGAACTCGAAATAGATTATTTTGACTTAGAATTCGGAAAAATCGATTTTTCTAACTTGCAACTCCTAAAAAATAAATCGTTTCAACATATAACTCAAAAAATAGATTATCTTGACTTAGAATACGGGGAAAAATAAATTTTTCCTAATAAGAACTCGAAAAAATAGATTATTCCAACTTACAATTCAAAAAAATAAATTATTCCAAATTTGTAGCTCAGAAAAATTGATTTATTTGACTTAGAACTTGGAGAAATTGATTATTTCGACTTAGAACTCAAAAAAATATATTATATCGACTTGCATCTCGGAAAATTGATTTTTCTGGTTTCTAAGTCAAAATAATCTATTTTTTGAGTTTTAAGTCAAAAAATTTTTCGAGTTGCAAGTTTTTTTTTGAGTTCCCAGTCGGAAAAACCTATTTTTTAAGTTTTGAGTAAGAAAAATTTATTTTTTTCGGAGTATTAAGTCAGAATAATCTATTTTGCAAAGTATTAGATGAGAAAAATCAATTTTTTCCGAGTTGCAAGTCGAAATAATCTATTTTTCCGACTTGCAACTCCAAAAAAATTTATTTTTCTGACTTGGAACTCGGAAAAATAGATTATTTCGAGTTGCAAAACGGAATAATGAATTTTACTGAGTTCTAAGACGATTTTTTTATGGATAAAAATTTTTGATAACGTACCTATTTCAATAACAACGCAATCTACCGAAACAAAAGGATTTATAATAATATAGTGTATACAGGGTTTACCGCACTGCATTAGGGTCAGCGAAACTTTAAAATAAACTTTAAATATTATCCATATTTAAAAGTAGATTAAGTAAATGAGAAGAACACAAACGCCCTCTGTACACAATAAATGGCTATATTAAAAACATTTCGAAATAAAATATATTTATCGTTTTTTATAAATATTGTTCAAAATGGAGACGTTATAATCAAAATTAACATTTTTTTCTTCTATATTTCGTTCGAAAAAATTCATTTTTTGATTTCTATTTATCTTCTTACAGCATTAAAAAAATATCAACCCTGTATAAACAGTTTGTTTTAAATGAATAATTAAACTAATTTAAATCAAATGCACAAAAATTCTCACCATTATGGTCCATATCCGGCAGGATTTCCCGAAAGCGCACCAACATTTCCGGTTTCAAATTTTCAGGTTTAGCTAAGTCCTGTTTCACAAACAGTCTGGGATGTTTCCTTTCTTCGTCTGTCACTTTTTTTTCGCTTGACGCATTGGAGTCGTTCGAGAGTTCAATTGTATGAACCTCTGAACTGTCTTTATCGAATCGAGACGACGAGTCGTCGTCGATGTCTTCTTGTGAAGTTTCAGCTGCAATAAATTTAATGAAAGAAAGTTAAAAGAGCAAAATCGGTTAAAACCGGAAAAAGTGATCCAAAGAATCTTAGAAATGTATTCTAGTACAATTAGATTGTCGTCCTTCTATACGATGTCACAAAAGTGACTTTAAGAAGAAGTGAGAGAGCTGGGATGGGATTAGAATTTTAAATCAACGAGTTTGGATGTCGAAATCATTGTTTTGATAGCTCAACTGGTAAAAGCATGGGGAACAGAGGAAATTAGAGATTACATCAATATTACCTATAACTTTTGTATTACTCAATTTTATTAAATTCGGTAAACGTTTTTGGTGTCATAAGATACATCTAATAGAAAAAATATAAATTAAATATAATTTGTAATTAAATAAGACTCTCCCCTATATTTGTCAATGTCTAAATAGTAATTTAATGTCACTTTCATTTTGTTTTATGTCAATTGTCAATCATTTATGCAATTGATTAATAGATGCGACAGGTATAACTCATTTTGTACTGAAAACTTATTAAACAGTCGTTATTTAAATACATTTATTTAATCCCTAAAATTATTCATCAGGTTATGGGTCCAGTTTTATTTTCTAAACTGACGAAAAGTTCTAAAATAACATCGGGCAAACTTTTATTTATCTTGTCTAAAATAGTTTGGGAATTCCTGCTCTAGAGTCTGTATCAATTGCGACAGCTAGAGCTGAAGTGCAAGGTTGGTTCAGACAAATATTCAGATATACTGAATGATTGTATAACTCCAAAATTACAATTAAATTCCCTAAAAGCAGCATTTCATTATTAAACTCTCTATAAAGTCTGGAACAAATAAAAAGCTGGAAGACCATTTCCCGAAATTTGATACTAATAAGAGAAATAAAAGCTTTGGGATCAAACATAGATGAAGGTGATAGAGTTTGTCACTTATTATTGTCTTTTACATCTAAATATGACGCATAACACTAGAAACGGTCACATATGTTAAAGTAGATTTTGTATAGTCTAGATTGTTGGAGAAGAAATTAAAATTAACTAACACAAAATTGAATTTTAAAGTAGTAAAAGGCTGTTTTACATGTAGATGTTTTCAAACAGTGTCTAGACGAAGAAATAATAATTACAAATAAATCACAATATCAGCAAATCAATACCATCAAGTAAATAAAGAAGCGCAACCAATATTATTATATGCTGCAAACGTATTTAATAAATTTAAATGCAATACTAGAAAATTGATGTTAAAACATTGCCAAACCCTGTATTCCATACAAATTGCAAATTGTGAAATTTTAAAGACAAATCAACCTAAACGTCAAGATCAAACTATGTGTATTCTTGAGGCTGATAGTACCAAAAATTAAACATCAAAGTTAACCTCAAAAAGACCCTATTTTGGAAAACAATCAATAGACATAACTTTGAATTAACTTGTCAAAATGAAAATGGTTTCAATGAAAGCAGCCATGTAACGCTAGGCGAAAATATTTGGCACAGAAGATCAGGCCATTCTAGAATAGATATTCACAGTTGGACTTCTACATGTGTAGATAGAAAAGCAACTAGGTGTTCTTTTACAATAAACGAAAGATGCACAAATGCTATAGGTGAACTGATCCTATAATGTACCATGGATGGAGGTAAATACTATCTTTCAAGTGACTTCTGTCAAATTTTCAGCGAGGTGCGTCACTTAGTTTGTACTTGACAGTGATTGAAGGCAAACAGATTTGGTATTTTTACAAAAATAAATAAAATCGAATATCGCGCAGTGATTAGATTCTTGTTTTTAAAAAAGAAAACGAACGATAAGATCAAAATCGAACTGGATGATGTGTATGGGGACTCTGCACCTTCGTTATCAACAATAAAATATTGAACTGTCGAATTTAAACGCGGTCGTACGATAATTTTTGATGATGAGCGTCCAAGCCGTCCAAGACCAGAAGTGGTCGATAAAATCCATGGTATGGTAACTGACCATCGACGGGTAAGAGTGTGTGAGATTGCTGAGACTGTGGGCATCTCACGTGAATGAGTGGAGAATATATTGCACTATTATTTGGGAATGACGAAGCTCGTTGCCAGATGGGTGCCGCGTTTGCTCAATGCCGACAACAAGCGAAACCGTGTGACAACTTCAAAGGAGTGTCTGGCAATGTTTAACCACAATAAGAAGGACTTTTTGCGACGTTTTGTAACCGTAGATGAAACATGGATTTATCACAATACGCTAGAGACGAAGGAACAGTCAAAGCAGTGGGTTTCTCAGGGCGAGTCAAAGCCAAAGAAAGCCAAGGTAGGTCTGTCTGCCAACAAGGTCATAACCACAGTTTTTTGGGATGCGCACGGTAATATTCATATCGATTACCTTGAAAAGGGCAAAACCATCACCGGCGATTATTACTCAAAGCTGTTGGACCGATTCGACGACGATTTGAAGCAAAAAACGACCGCATTTAGCAAAGAAGAAAGTGCTCTTCCACTAGGACAACGTACCGACGCACAAATATGCAGTCGCAATGGCAAAACTCTATAAATTGCGTTACGAATTGGTTCCTCATCCGCCATACTCCCCAGATTTGGCACCCAGCGACTATTATCTGTTTCCAGACTTGAAAAAATGGCTCGGTAGTAAGAGATTTGAGTCGAATGGGGAGGTCATCGCTGCGACAGATGCTTATTTTAAGGACTTCGAGAAATCGTATTATTCGAAGGGCATCGAAAAATTGGAGAATCGTTGGACAAAGTGTATAGAGCTATGTTGAGAAATAAATTGAGTTTTGCCAAAAAAAGTTGTGTTTTCTTGCCTAGACCGATTATTTTTCAGCCCAACCTCGTATCACAGAGATGGAGGGACAACATGCTGTTGAGGTAGAGTGTTTTTGACTAGATAATAGTAATAAGGGTATTAAAATTAGAACACATAATGCTCTATAGTTCCTAAATGAAAGGTAAGAACCAAAATGGTTGATTAGAATATACCTAAGGTGTAAAAATCCTTCAGAATATTGGCATGGGAGGAGGAATGATGTGAGTAAAGTAAAAATATTTAGTATACTTTATTAACAGAAGAAAATAAATTGGAATCTAGAGCAAAAAAGCTGTTTTTGTAGGTTATTGTGGAAAAGGTTATAGATTATATTTACCAGAGGAAGAAATAGTTGATGAACATACGGAATTCAAAGACAAATATTTATACCTGAGGATAACATTGTTTATATTGAAGAAAAAGAATTTAGAAAATGTATAATACATTGAACTGAAAATAAGAAACAAAAAAAATGAAGAAATCTTAAATCGTGCCCTTTGATATTCGGTCTAAAATGTTAGAATAAGATTTTTAAGTTAGTAATTGTCATTTTAATAGCTTTTCTGATCTAAAAGAAATTTTGGTGACCTATAAATTATACGAATATTTAAAAACCTTAAGATTATAAAGTTGAAATTTAAAAATTTTGTCTGAAATATCATAGAAACGTTTATCGTTTATAGGGACCGAAGCTCGTAAAAAACTAAACTTGCAAACTTGGAAAAATAATTTTTTTGACTTAAAACTCGAACAAATAGATTATTTTTGCTTAGAATTCGGAAAAAATCGATTTTTTCCGACAAACTCGGAAAAACTACATCATTTCGACTTAGAACTCCGTAAAATCGATTTTTCTGACTTATAACTCAAAAAAATAAATTTTTCTGACTTGCAATTTGGAAAAATAGATTATTTTGACATACAACTCGAAAAAATGAATTTTTTCTACTTAAAACTCGCAAAAAAATTAATTTTTCTGACTTAAAACTTGAAAACAGTTTTTTTTTCTACATATAAGTCGGAAAAATAGATTTTTCTAGCTTAGACCTTTGAAAAAATAGATTATTCCGACTTGCAACTCGGAAAAATTGATTTTTCTGACATAGAACTCGAAAAAGTCGATTTCTCTAACTTATAACTCGAAAAAAACGATTGTTCTGATTTAGAACTCGGGAAAATGGATTTTTATGACTTACAACTCGAAAAAATTAATTTTTCTGACTTATAACTTGAAAAAATAAATTTTCCTGACTTGCAATTTGGAAAAATAGATTATTCCGACTTACAACTAAAAAAAAATTGATTATTCCAACTTGCAAGTCAGAAAAATTGATTTATCTGACTTAGAACTCGGAAAAATAGATTATTTCGACTTAGAATTCCAAAAACGCAATTTTTCTGACTTACAATTTTGAAAAATAGATTATTTTGACATACAACTCGAAAAAATAAATTATTTCTACTTAAAACCCGCAAAAAATTTGAAAACTTGAAAACAAAAAACGTTTTCTGATTTTAGTAAAATTATACTGAATGTTTAAAACACCACGTAGAGTGGATAAAAATAATATTTTAACAAACATGTTCTGTTTAATCGTTTTATTTTGAATAGGAAAATCGTTAGTTGTTTTTTATTCAATTCTTCAAAGCCACTTTTGTTGCACAAACTAATATTTTAATTACGAGTGAGTAAAATAGACAAATTTCAAAAAGAATGTTACAAAATAAATATGTAAAATTTTACTTATAATGCAAAATCATAAAATCGAATATTTTACATTATTTCGATTCGGTTATTTCAAATATGTTACAAGAAGATTCCGCGACGAAAATTTATTAGACTTATCGTGACGCGTTTAAAAATATCAAGCATATTTCGGAAAATTCATGACAAAACAAATTTTTACTTTCCTGTCTGTATACAACTAAGTATGGGAATTATGATTTTTTTCGACCTCGAGTTTTTGGCGGATTTTTACGTTTTCGCGATGATGTTTGTGTATCTCTATACTCGATAATTTTAAATTTAACCTGTTAATAGGATGATTGGATTTTGTACATAGTCGGAACATCTGGGGGGTACTTTATAGAGTACTTGATGAAATATATGTTATTTATTCTATACAGGAAAATTCTTTAAATAAAATGTATAGTAGTCGAGAAAACAGAATTAAGAGAAAACTACAAAATTTTATGCTACGGAGGGTTGATTAAATTTTGAGCATAGTCGAAGCATCTGAGGGATACTTTAAAAGGTGTCGTTTTTTACTTTAAGGAATATTTCTGCTATTTGCGCTTATAAAAGAAAATTTCTCAAATAAAAGTTGCTTGAAATGTTATTCTCTATAATTTTTGTCATAAACATATTTTTCTTAAAATGAGCCGTATTCGAGAAATTAGACAAAAAGTGCAAAATTCGATTTTTTTTTCAAAATTTCACTACAAAGTGATAGAGTTAATTAAGAATAAACTTAAATGTGTTAAGCCAAAGGAACGGCAAGATGTTATTAAAAAGGTGAAATAAGTGGAAAATGTTTTTATAAAAAATCTGACGTTAGCGCGCAACGCCACTTGTTAGATGAGGATGGTGAATGCCAACTGTGTGAGTATTTGAAGCTATTGCGCATGCGATTCACTATCCTCATCTAACAAATGGCGTTGCGCACTAACTCTCTCTCATTTGATATCAGATATCTCGCGTTTTTAACTGATTGCACTCCTAATTTGCGGCTATTTTTTCATAGGCAGCAATATATCATCATGTTAGAAAAAATATTAGCTTTAATTTGATATAAAAAACATCCGTGTAAGTCACGAACGTATAGATAGATCAAAATATTACCTGCTTACACCTGGCTGCGAGGTAGTTGCGGCCGAGTATGGAACGGCACTTAAGGATTTTAGAATTCTTTACATGCATTGTTATGATGTGGATATTTTATTTTAAAGAAAAGTAAACGAAATTTTTTTTGGAATATTAATTAACATTCATTTAATTAAAATTACTTGCGGCCACTTTTGACTGGCTGCGGTGTTATCAGTGTATTCTCCTATTCATAAAATCATGTAAAAATTTGTGTTTCACTCAAAACTTAATGAACGTAGTGATTTTGCAGCGGGATCTCGTACTATTATGAGTAGCTACAATTTGTTGTTTTGTTGTTGTTTTTTAAATTGTTTTTGTTTTTTATTTTTTATATTTTATTGTTTTTTTTTAACTTTTTTGATCGTTTTTTGGTTGTTTTTGTTATTTTTTTTTGTTTTTATTATTTTCTGTTTTATATTTTTTTTGTTTTTTGTTGCATTGTTTTGTTTTTGTTGCTTTGTTTTTTGTTGAATTTTTGTTTTTTTATTGTTTTTGTTTCTTCGCTTTTGTTTTTGTTGTTTTTTGGTTGTGATATTGTTTTTTGTGTTTTGTTTTGGATTTTTGTTTTTTTTTTTAATTTTCATTATTTTCTTTTTTTGCGTTTTTTTTTGTTTTTTGTGGTTTGTTTTTGTGTTTATGTTCTTGTGTTTTTGTTTTTGTGTCTTTGTGTCTTTGTGTCTTTGTGTTTTTGTGTTTTTGTGTTTTTGTTTTATTGCTGTATTCTGTTTTTTGTTGTTGTTTTTTTATTGTTTTTTAAATTGTTTGTTTTTTTTATTTTTTATATTGTTTTTATTTTTTGTTTCTTAAATTATTTTTCTTTTCTTATTTTTTATACTTTATTGTCATTTGTTGTTTTTTAAATTTTGTTGTTGTTTTCTTCTGTATTTTGTTTTTTTGTTGCAATATTTTGCTGGATTTTGTTTTTTGTTGTTTTGTTTTGCTGGATTTTGTTTTTTGTTGTTTTGTTTTGCTGTATTTTCTTGATGTTTTTTGTTGTTTTTGTTGTTTTTTGCTTTTTTTGCTGTTTTATGTTGTTTGTTTTTCGTTTCTTTGTTTTTGTTGTTGTTTGTTGTTGTTGTTTGTTGTTGTTTGTTGTTGTTTGTTGTTGTTTGTTGTTGTTTGTTGTTGTTTGTTGTTGTTTGTTGTTGTTTGTTGTTGTTTGTTGTTGTTTGTTGTTGTTTGTTGTTGTTTGTTGTTGTTTGTTGTTGTTTGTTGTTGTTTGTTGTTGTTTGTTGTTGTTTGTTGTTGTTTGTTGTTGTTTGTTGTTGTTTGTTGTTGTTTGTTGTTGTTTGTTGTTGTTTGTTGTTGTTTGTTGTTGTTTGTTGTTGTTTGTTGTTGTTTTCTTGTTGTCAATCAATATTTAACAAACTGCAACACAATTGCAGTGAATGTGTTTTGTTGAATTTGTTGTATTTTAAACCGAAACAATGCGTACCTTTTCCACCAGTGGGAGCACTATTCAAACTCTGTTGAGGTTTCAGCGATTGTTGTTGATATTAAAATTGCCTTTGAGGTCTTGCGTTTTGATTACCGATATTCACGTTTCCTTTTTCGTTGTTTGTTTTTCTTTGTTGGTTTTTATTATTTTATTTTTTTGTTGTTTTTGTTTTTGGATCTTTGTTTTTAATTGTTTTTGGTTGTTTTTTGTTTGTTTTGTATTTTTTATTTTTTTACATTGTTTTTGTTGTTTTTTGGTGTTTTTGTTGGTCTTTTATTTTCTTTAATTTCTGTTTTCTTTTGTTGTTTTTTGTTGTTTTTTTTGTTGTTTTTTTGTTGTTTTTTGTAGTTTTTTGTTGTTTTTTGTTGTTTTTTTTTGTTGTTTTGTATTGTTTTTTATTGTTTTTTATTGTTTTTTATTGTTTTTTATTGTTTTTTATTGTTTTTTGTTGTTTTTTGTTGTTTTTTGTTGTTTTTTGTTGTTTTTTGTTGTTTTTTGTTTTTTATTTTTTGTTTTTTGTGTTTTTGTGTTTAGATTTTTTTGTTTTACTGTATTTTATTTTGTTTTGTTGCTGTATTTTATTTTTTTGTTGTTATTTTTGTTGTTTTTTATATTGCTTTTGTTTTTTGTTTGTTCATTTTCTAATTTTTAAGTTCCTACCTTTAAAAAATGGATACCCTATACAAACTTTCACCCCACCCTTTAAAATATGAAAATCCAAAAACTCTGAAATTTGTCATTATGTATTTGCGATGAATAGATATACCAATGTTCAAGTTATTACCTCTAAAAAACTTTTCTACTAACTTTCACCCCCCTTTACCCCCTAAAATTAAAAAAATCAAAAAACCTGAAACTAGTTATTTTTTTATTTGTGACAAGTAACTATATTTCCAATATTCACGTCCCTATTTTAAAAACAAAAATCGATACTTCCATATCGATTCACCCAGATCCATTCAGCCCCTGTCTCTTAATATCAATTCATAATGTTTTTGTGTTACCGGAAATCCTGATCTTTTACTTTGGTAATACATTGATGAAAAACTTTAACTTAGTTGGTGTAAAAAAGAAATAATATTTAACAATATTTACCTGTCGCAAAATTCAAAGGACTAACACTCTTCCGACAAGATTCGTCTTCCGAACTGTGATTCCCTTCCGAAGCGGGCGCTTTCGATAGCGGCGGCAATCTGCTATTCCGACACAACTGATCCAACAACGCCTTATTCGACATATTCTCCGGCGCCACGTTCTTATCTTCGTTCATCAACGATTTCTCCTCGCTACTCGGAACACCGGATTCCAAACTCGACCTTATAATCCCGTCCAGAAAGGAACCGTTAGGTGCCGTCGTTTCTAATAAAGATTCCGCTCGCTGTCTGGCGTTTTTCGATAAAGTCGGACCACCACTTCCTGGCGACTGAGGAGGTACAGCTCTGCTGGACTCCTCCTGGAGTTTTTGCATCATTTGCGACGCGAAGAAGTCCGGGTTCGGTCCGGGAAAGGACGCCGGGTTCCTAGCGTAGTCTAGGGGAAGATGCGTGAAACCAGGAGGCGCCCAAAATGGAAACGGGCCGTTATAGCCGGCAAGAGGCGCCATTCCGCTTTCGAATAAAGATAATTTCATTCCATTCGGCGACGTTGGAGTATATTTCTGCGGTGGTTTCATGATGGATTTCATTTTTTCTTGTGAATTGCGAATGTCGTTTTGTTTTAAACTGGCGATTTTTTCGTCTACGGGGTTTGGTTTTGGGTCGCGTTTACGAGGTCGCATTAAATGTCTTTCTTTCACTTTGTATTCTAGTGTGGAATGAGGCACTCCGTAGTAACTACCCGCTCTGTGGACTGACATTTCGCCTCGTTGAACTGCCCGTACTGCTTCTACTAAACTGTCTCTGTCGTAATTTCTGTACTTCCCTCGTTTTGGTCTTGTACCTGAAATAATAACAAATTTATTAATTTACTTACTATCTAAACTCACAGGTCTATAAAAAAAAGTCAAAAAAGTCAAAAAAGTCAAAAAGTCAAAAAGTAAAAAAGTCAAAAAAGTAAAAAAAAAGTCAAAAAGTCAAAAAAAGTCAAAAAAGTCAAAAAAGTAAAAAAAAAGTCAAAAAAGTAAAAAAAAAGTCAAAAAAGTAAAAAAAAAGTCAAAAAAGTAAAAAAAAGTCAAAAAAGTCCAAAACAGTCAAAACAGTCAAAAAAGTCAAAAAAAGTAAAAAAAAAGTCAAAAAGTCAAAAAAGTCAAAAAAGTCAAAAAAGTCAAAAAATAAAAAGTCAATAAAAGGTCAAAGTCAAAAAAGTCAAAATCATATAATCCGCCCTCGCAGTAATTTCTAAAAAAAAGGTCTTCAAGCAAAATATAAATCCTTCTAAAAAAAAGTCCACAAACCAGGTCCCTCCCTTTTGTGGCGATGGTATTGCTTCTTTTTTATTCTAACTTTTTTCTTTGTGAAGCTCCCACAAACACTTTTGCGGTGCCCCAGGGCCAGAGCACACTTTGAGACTGTCCTAGATTATTTCTCTAGAGAAATAGTCAATATTTGGTCTAGGGAAATAGTCGTTCCAAAATATAACACGACCTTGAATAATATTTTGCTATTTTTGTTGCTAAATTTCTCAAACATTTTACAATTTGATTCTACATAATTTTGGCATTAATAATCAATTAATTAATGCCAAAAATAATGTCTGATCAAATTGATATTAAAATATTTTCGAGATTTAGATTCAACAAAAATAGCTGACTATTATTAAAGTCTTGGTTTATTATCCTTGATAATTTTGAATATTTATAGTTTTTCTGTTAATAAATATAAAAAAGAAATAATAGAATTATCCGCGAAAGTATTACTATAATTATGGAAGTAGTAGAGCACGTTACAATCTGTTATACAGTGTCTCCCAAAAATTTTTATACACATGAAAAAAAACTTTTTTGAAACACACGTGTAATGGATTGCGACGTGCTCTTTGAGCACGTCGTTAACAATGAAATGTATTTAAATAGTGTGGTTAACGACGTACTCAAAGAGCACGTCGCAATTTATTACTATAGTGTGTCCCAAAAAAATTATACACATAAGAAAAACACTGTTTGGAACACACTATGTAATGGATTGCGACGTACTCTTCGAGCACGTCGTTAACCACAACGTATATTCAGATATTATTCTTAACGACGTGCTCAAAGAGCAAGTCGCAATATACTATACAGTGTGTCCCAAAAATTCTTATACACACGAGAAAAAAGCTTTTTGGAACACACTGTGTAATGGATTGCGACGCACGTTGTTAACCACAAAGTATATTCAGATATTATTCTTAACGATGTACTCAAAGAGCAAGTCGTAATCTATTGTACAGTGTGTCCCAAAAATTATTATACACACGAGAAAAAATGTTTTTGGAACACACTGTATAATGAATTGCGTTGTTTTTGATTGTTTCTGGTTATTTTTGGTTTTTTTGTTCGGTGTTTCTTTGGTGGTTTTTTGTTGTTTTTTTGACTTGTTGTTTTATTTGTTGATGTTTTTTAATTTGTTTTGTTTTCTTTTGTTTTTTTTTCTGTTGTTTATTGTTCTTCTGTTGTTTTATTTGTTGCTTTTTGTTGTTTTGTTTTTGGTTGTTTTTAGTTGTTCTTTTATTTTTTATATTTTTTGTTTCTTAGTTTTTGTTTTTGTGTTTGTTTTGTTTTTGGATCTTTGTTTTTTGTTCCATTAATTGTTTTCGGTTGTTTTTGGTTGTTTCGTTATTTATTTTTTTGTTTCCTTTCGTTTTTTCTGTTTTTTTGTTCTTTTGTTATTTTATTTGTTGTTTTGTTTTTGGTTTTTTAGTTGTTTTTGGATGTTCTTTCATTTTTTATATATTTTTTATTTTTTTTTTTTTGTTTTTTTTTTGTTTTATTTGTTTTTTTTTGTGTCATCGGCTTCAACTGCTAAGATTAGATTAGATTAGGAGTTGGATGTTATTTGTCCTTGTCCACCGCGACCTTTTCAGATCTATTGTGGGACAACTGCTAAGGTTATTTCGCCTCGTGTTCTGTGTAGGCTTTGTTACTATTTCCCAGCGAATGGTCGAGTGAGGAATCCTACCAGGCATCAGAATTAATTTTAAATAAATAAATTTAAAAAATCCCGGCCAATGGTGGGATTCGAACCTGGGACCCTTTGATCCGCAAGCAGAGACTCTACTACTGAGCCACCTACCTCCCTTGTTGATTCTTTTATTTTTTATATATTTTTTGTTTTTTTGTTGTTTTTTGTGTTTTTGTTTTTTGTGTATTTTTGTTGTATTTTGTTATTTTACTTGTTGGGTTGTTTTTGTTTTTTTTTTGTAAATATTTGTTTTTTCGTGTTTTTTTTTGTGTATTTTTGTGTTTTTTATTGTCTTATTTTGCCGTATTTTGTTATGGCTGCATTTTGTTTTCTTTTGTTTGTTTATGGCTGTTTTCTTTTCAGATCTTTGTTTTTGGTTGTTTTTAGTTCTTTTACTTTTATTTTTGTTGTTGTTTTTTTTGGGGTATTTGTTGTTGTTTTCTTGTTTTTTGTTTTTTTGTGTTTTTTAATTGTTTTGTTTTGTTTTGGTGTATTTTGTTGTTTCTTGTTGTTTTGTTTTGCTGTATTTTATTGTTGCTTTTTTGTTGTTTTTGTTTTTTATTATATTTGTTTTTTTTGTATTTTTTTTATTGTTTTATTTTGTCTTGTTTCGCAGTATTTTGTTTTTGTTGTTTTTTTTTTTTTTGTTATTTTTTTTTTGTTTTATTGTTTTTTGATCTTGTTTTTTAATTATTGTTGTTTTCAGTTACTTTTGTTGTTTTTTGTTGTTTTTTTGTTGTTTTTTGTTGTTTTTTGTTGTTTTTTGTTGTTTTTTTGTTGTTTTTTGTTTTTTTTTTTATTGTTTTTTGTTTTTTTTTATTGTTGTGTATTGTTTTTTGATGTTCTTTGTTTTGTCTTTGTTGTTTTTTGTTGTTTTTTGTTTTTTTTTTATTGTTGTGTATTGTTTCTTGATGTTCTTTGTTTTGTCTTTGTTGTTTTTTGTTGTTTTTTTGTTGATTTGTGTTGTGTATTTTAAACCGAAACAAATACGTACCTTTTCCACCAGTAGGAGCACTGTTCGAACTCTGTTGAGGTTTCGGCGATTGTTGTTGATGTTGAAACTGCCTGTTGAGGTCCTGCGTTTTGATTACCGATATTCCACTTCCAAGAGGAGGCGTGAATCCTCCCCGTTTGAAATCGATGTCAATTATTTGCCGTCTCGGTTCCACTGGTTGATGAAACTTCTGACTGATGCTTTGAGCTATGACATCCTTTACGTCTTTCATAATGTTCAACCCTTTTGTTGGTAATATCGGAGGTGATCCTGATTCGCTTGTTACTGGCGGGGACATTATACTACCTGTAAGAATATACATAGTATTATTATCCGTAGACTCTGTTGTAATAGTAAAGAAAGAGTACAGCGGTGTCATAGAAATCGCGTAAAACAAATTTTATCGCTATCGCTTAGCAGAGAATAAATAGTCTACTGAACGGATATACATAATTTTATATCAATTCTAGAAAGAATATAAAATGTTGAATGTTAATGTTGAATGTTAATGTTGAATGTTAATGTTGAATGTTAATGTTGAATGTTAATGTTGAATGTTAATGTTGAATGTTAATGTTGAATGTTAATGTTGAATGTTAATGTTGAATGTTAATGTTGAATGTTAATGTTGAATGTTAATGTTGAATGTTAATGTTGAATGTTAATGTTGAATGTTAATGTTGAATGTTAATGTTGAATGTTAATGTTGAATGTTAATGTTGAATGTTAATGTTGAATGTTAATGTTGAATGTTAATGTTGAATGTTAATGTTGAATGTTAATGTTGAATGTTAATGTTGAATGTTAATGTTGAATGTTAATGTTGAATGTTAATGTTGAATGTTAATGTTGAATGTTAATGTTGAATGTTAATGTTGAATGTTAATGTTGAATGTTAATGTTGAATGTTAATGTTGAATGTTAATGTTGAATGTTAATGTTGAATGTTAATGTTGAATGTTAATGTTGAATGTTAATGTTGAATGTTAATGTTGAATGTTAATGTTGAATGTTAATGTTGAATGTTAATGTTGAATGTTAATGTTGATTGTTAATGTTGAATGTTAATGTTGATTGTTAATGTTGAATGTTAATGTTGAATGTTAATGTTGAATGTTAATGTTGAATGTTAATGTTGAATGTTAATGTTGAATGTTAATGTTGAATGTTAATGTTGAATGTTAATGTTGAATGTTAATGTTGAATGTTAATGTTGAATGTTAATGTTGAATGTTAATGTTGAATGTTAATGTTGAATGTTAATGTTGAATGTTAATGTTGAATGTTAATGTTGAATGTTAATGTTGAATGTTAATGTTGAATGTTAATGTTGAATGTTAATGTTGAATGTTAATGTTGAATGTTAATGTTGAATGTTAATGTTGAATGTTAATGTTGAATGTTAATGTTGAATGTTAATGTTGAATGTTAATGTTGAATGTTAATGTTGAATGTTAATGTTGAATGTTAATGTTGAATGTTAATGTTGAATGTTAATGTTGAATGTTAATGTTGAATGTTAATGTTGAATGTTAATGTTGAATGTTAATGTTGAATGTTAATGTTGAATGTTAATGTTGAATGTTAATGTTGAATGTTAATGTTGAATGTTAATGTTGAATGTTAATGTTGAATGTTAATGTTGAATGTTAATGTTGAATGTTAATGTTGAATGTTAATGTTGAATGTTAATGTTGAATGTTAATGTTGAATGTTAATGTTGAATGTTAATGTTGAATGTTAATGTTGAATGTTAATGTTGAATGTTAATGTTGAATGTTAATGTTGAATGTTAATGTTGAATGTTAATGTTGAATGTTAATGTTGAATGTTAATGTTGAATGTTAATGTTGAATGTTAATGTTGAATGTTAATGTTGAATGTTAATGTTGAATGTTAATGTTGAATGTTAATGTTGAATGTTAATGTTGAATGTTAATGTTGAATGTTAATGTTGAATGTTAATGTTGAATGTTAATGTTGAATGTTAATGTTGAATGTTGAATGTTGAATGTTAATGTTGAATGTTAATGTTGAATGTTAATGTTGAATGTTAATGTTGAATGTTAATGTTGAATGTTAATGTTGAATGTTAATGTTGAATGTTAATGTTGAATGTTAATGTTGAATGTTAATGTTGAATGTTAATGTTGAATGTTAATGTTGAATGTTAATGTTGAATGTTAATGTTGAATGTTAATGTTGAATGTTAATGTTGAATGTTAATGTTGAATGTTAATGTTGAATGTTAATGTTGAATGTTAATGTTGAATGTTAATGTTGAATGTTAATGTTGAATGTTAATGTTGAATGTTAATGTTGAATGTTAATGTTGAATGTTAATGTTGAATGTTAATGTTGAATGTTAATGTTGAATGTTAATGTTGAATGTTAATGTTGAATGTTAATGTTGAATGTTAATGTTGAATGTTAATGTTGAATGTTAATGTTGAATGTTAATGTTGAATGTTAATGTTGAATGTTAATGTTGAATGTTAATGTTGAATGTTAATGTTGAATGTTAATGTTGAATGTTAATGTTGAATGTTAATGTTGAATGTTAATGTTGAATGTTAATGTTGAATGTTAATGTTGAATGTTAATGTTGAATGTTAATGTTGAATGTTAATGTTGAATGTTAATGTTGAATGTTAATGTTGAATGTTAATGTTAATAATTTTCATACAGCTCTTAAGAGAACAAGTAAAACATGAACTTTTCAAATTAGTACGCACCTGTGGGTTCCGCTTGGCTTCTTAAATTATCGCATCCATTTTTACTCGACGTCGTCGGCTTAAAGGACGGAATTTTTAGTATCACATTCGATGGAGAATCATCGGTTTCCATATCCGACTCGGATTTGGTACGCTCGTGTTTAATTATTACGGAATTACTGGGGCTCGGCCTGGTGATTTTTTCGCTATCACCGTTGTTTTGATTCTTCAATTGATCGTCCGTCAGCATCCGCTTCATCAATTCGGGTATCATGTTGTTTGCCATCGATCCGTCTGGCGGCTTTTGACTCAGCATGTTCTGAGACGCAAGAAAATGGAGGTACGAACCCATTTCGCCGTGGTCCAGACCCCCGAATTGATCCTGCCCTTCTTTGCCCTTTTGTAGAATGACTTTCAGAGCTTCCGGAATCTACAAATCACGAATAATCGATTTAAAATAGATTTATAATCGATTTATAATCGATTAATAATCGATTAATAATCTAATAAACAAGGAGAAAGTTCTTAGATGAATTTTGTTTTGTAACTGAATCAATATGGTTAAGATTAAGTGTAAGTATATAAAAAGTGCAAAAATATAGACTGTTTATTTTCCTAAATACATCTTATATAATTGAATATGTAGAGTTTAATTTACTTAAAATTTTACAATAGGCTCTCCAAAAAAGCATTAATCTAAAGTGACACCCATAAACTTGTAAAGCTTTTTTTGAAAACTGGAATTAACAATTCTGTTTGAACCAAAACAAACCAGTACTCAATTACTTCATTATTATTAAATCCCAATCAAACTGAAGCAAATACAAATCATTTGTCAACAGTAACTTACGTCTCTACCGGTCATTCGGAACAAATCAGCAACAGAAAGCAAAGGACCTTGCAGAGCTTTCTCCACTTCCTTTTCCTCCTCCGTCCCCGAAAGGTTATTCTCGTCCTCCATTACTTCGTCCTCCATGGGCGTAGAACTGTTGAGGTGAGATTCCCTTTCACGTTCTAAGGCTAATTTGTATACTTTGTTACGAAGTGTGGATCTAGGGATACCATAGATCACAGCCGCTCTCCTGGTGCCTAGTTTTCCCGATTGGATGTCTCTCAAGGCTGCTTGAAGCTCGTCTTCGGTGTAGGTCCGCCTGCCGGCCACGGTCGACATTCTAGGCTTGGCTCTGGAATCAGAACTAAAATTATAGAGCCATGAGGTGTTGTTCCAAAATATTGGATATTTTTGAACGTCTAATAGTTTAAACACAATAAAATATAGAGTAATATTAAGAACAGCGAGCGTAATGTAGAAACATATTAATTAATATGATAACAGTTCTTTGTTTTCCACCTCTAGGCTCCTATCTCTAATCTGAGTCAAGGTTCTCTGTTTTGTCAATCGATAACAATTTGTAACATACTCCGAGCAATTACTACTAGAGGGAGTCTTCCCCCCTTCCCCGCGCTAAATTTTGTTAGCAACATCTACTCCCCCCGAGGGGGAAAATACCTCTTCTGTAATTGGCTTATTTAATCAGCGTTGCCAAGTTTGACAGCGCCAGAAGTGTTCTGTGAGCGCCAGTTCTGACACTTTCAAATACATGTCAATTTGCTTATTTGTATTTTACGGAAAATATTATTATTTATAACGTTGTAAGGGTTGTAAATGTATATTTAAGATTTATTATCTCTAATAATATGGTAAAAACATGCGTTATGTGTAAAAGGCCTGTTGAAAATGCTTCTTCAAGATAATATCATAAGTAAGTACAGGCACAACCTAATTATCAGAGGCGGTGCATCAGGCAATCACCTTTAATTTGCAATTAAACTTTCTTATTTGCTTATCGAAAAATTAAAATTAAGAGCAAGTAAACTCCAGCTAAGTTCGTCTTCATCCTTCTGTCTCATAATGATTATAGTAAAGGTTAATTACTTATTATTTTAATAGCACATCTTTGTAAAGTTTATTGTTATTTTTTTAGGTTTCCTTTTCTTGATATGAGAAAGAAATACATGGTTCCAAAATATAGGAATTCAAGAAGTGACCACCTGAATAACTTTTTATGCTAATGAACATTTTTATTATAGACCTCAGGGGAGGAAAATATTAAAGAAAAATGCAACGACGAATGAAGTATAATAATCAATCCTGTCACTACTTCTACACTATATTCATCTGCTACTAAAATACTAAAACAGCAAGTAAGTTTATTTCAAAAAGAATGTTTAAGGAAAAAGGCATAGCCATTTTTTTGTTGACATTTTTTTTAAATAATCTAAAAGACTAATTTTGTGTATTGTTTAAATTTTCATTTTTTGTACTTAATTTGTTTTAGGTTTAAACAAAATGAACTTCTAAGATATGCATGGAATATCCCAAAAGATCTAAGGAAGGTTTTAAAATTCTTAAGAAAACTATTCAGAGCCAAAAACATAAAATAGTCTTCCTGTCCAAAATATAAATAGGTATAAATATTTAGATATTATTAGTGATTTTTTATTCTATAAATAGAACATAATTTGCTTCTAAATCACTACCTAATGAACTATATTATATAGTACAATACTAAACAAGAATATCACATTATTCATGTTTTTTTTTTAATTTCCTTAAAAAACGTCCCAAAATAATGTGAATATTTATTATTGGAGTTTACATCGTTATGCTAAAACAATACTAGAACAACTTAAATAATGTGGATTTTGACTATTTTGAGTTATGCAGATCATTATGATCTAAAAAAATGTTTGTCTGGTACTATAGTCAGGTATAAAAACATTCATTTATTTAAACACAGTTGCAATATACATTTTATTTAGTTTTTAAGTTAAAACCTATTAGGACATCCTAAAATGACTTTTTTCGTTTGATATGAGATTAATTATTCTACATTTTTGTTTGTGAAATAGGATATATTAAGATGTCTTACTGTTTTCTCTGATTATCTTAAAAGTTAGAACAATATACGAAGACTGTTATAACAAAAAAGAGATATACCTTTACTTAAACACAAAATTAGTCAGTTCAATTGTACAATAATTTAAAGCATAAATCCAGAAAACTTTAAAAATGTGTTTTTACTATAACAAGAACATAATTATTAAAAAACTTGGCACATTAACTTTGACGATAGGTTTTTATAATATATATTATACAAATCACAACGAACTACACAAAACGACATTATTAATAATTTAGCAATAAAAAAGTTAAGTACAATGATGACATTAAAAGTTGAGTTTCTCGAAATACTTTTTTTTAAATTGTCTCAGTACCTACCTAGTATTTTTCTAGCACAATGATATTATATGAATGTGCATTGTGTGATATCTTATGTTTTAGGAATAAAATGATATATTTTTTGCAGCTTTCTGTTAACAACGATTCCAAGAACTTTTGAATATATTATTAAAACGGCCTTTGCAAATATAATTCTCAATTAAGAGGTTTTGATCTAACATTAAATTTTTGTTCTCCATTAGGTTACAGCTTCCTAAGAAGAAAATTTAACAAGACTTACCAGACTCAAAATATCAAAATTTTACCAATCAATTGATGGTTCTACTAGTTTCCATAGGAAATTTCTCCTCGAAACTACTAAAAGAAAAGTGGCAGAGGCAACCGATAAAGGCAAAAAAGTCTTTTGCAAAACAAAAACTAGAAATTTGTTTAAGAATATAATTATTGTTTGAAGTTTTACCATTAATAATTTTTGATAACGATTTAAGATTATGAAGTTTTATTATGTATTTTACTCTTTGATAACCTATGTTTAAATTTTTATTAGGACCAAAATAAATTATAATTTTCATTTCAACTACAAAAACCCTCATAATATTAAAAAGAGGAAAAAACGTTAGATTAGTTATGTTCAGGAATAAACTCTTTAAACATATATCTACTTAAAATGTGTTACTTTTAGAAGGTATGTTATTAACTTTCCATTTGTACTTGTATTAATTTATTTCATTATCTGTTGTATTTTCAAATTGATTTTGATATTAATCTTATCTAATTATATATTTCTTATATTCCCATATATGTTTTTTTTCATTGAAACAAACGTTTATTAGCTTATTAAATATAATGAATTCATATTGTTTTATTATATGCTTGTATGAATGATTACTTTTATTTCCTTTTAAAAATGAATTTCGAAGATAAAGCCGAAACGGTACCGGTGAGAGAGAATAAAAAATTAGACGAAAGTGACGATATTTACTGGAGCTTTCATCTACACCTGAGCCAGCAAGATTCGTCTTCCTTCATCCTTACATTCTCCAGATTTACAGAGAAAACGCCGTCCTCTTTAACATATCTAGACCTTCTTTGACGGGGACTATACCACTACATTATCAGCTTTATTTGTTATCCCGAGCAATTTAAATGCATTCGTAATTGTTCATTCTCATCTCTTGTAGATTCCGTACTCAGTTTTCTTATTTTTAGTTACGTTTGCACTGCTCTTTTATTTTCACAGCTTTAATTCTATAATGCTGTAACGCTACAATATGGATCCATTTTTGTGGTTTATACTATTTAATGTTATTCGTAAGTGACCAACCTATTATAATAATTAAAGATTATTGTATACAGGCCTGAAGATGTTTCTGTAAGGCCGAAACTAGTCGCTACTGTATTTATTTATAATAAAATTGATTTTAAGGTTTTATTCTTCAATTGAAAAAATTAGACCGTTACAGTGATTTTGTTTCATTTCCTGCATTAGACACATATAAGACGGTATTCTTTTTAAATATAGTAAAATTAGCAAATTTTTTAGTTTTTTTTTACAATTAAAACGTTTGGACAATGTGTGTTTTTATAGATAAATGATACGCCACTGAACAAGAAGGATGTTTACCTTCCCCCTTGTGCCCGCTTCCTCACTTCCTCTATAGATGTTGCTAACACAACAATCGCCTACAAACTCGTTTTCACGCTCCCTCTATTAGTAATTGCTCGGAGGTAACATATTCATGTTCCTTTTTATAAAATAGGTTATTAAGACTAGAGAGAAAAAGACGAATCAACATACCAAAAAACGAATGCTAATCAAGCTGTTACAATTGACTGCTGGGACGCTGGTGTTGGAAGTGATGTTAAAAATACATGGCTTCTTATGGGAATTTTTATAATTTTAAAAATAGTACAAATAAATTTGTTTATTGCTAAATAAAGCACAAAAATAATATTGTATTTGTTTTTAAATAAGTCTTGTATGCTTTTTTTGATAAATTATTTAATTTTATTTATAAGAAATGCAAATTAGGTATGACCAAATTAGAAATGTTTTTTTAAATGTTGGAATTTCCTAATTTTGTGGCTACATTTCTTTGAATATTACCTTTATATAGTTTTAATAGCCAAATAATAGTTAAATGATTTTTTATTGTTATTATTGAAGACTGAAGACATGCAGACTACTTAGTTAGTTTCATTATGATCTAGATAAGTGGTCGCCAACCTCTTAATGTGTTGAGCTACTTTGTTAATTTTGGAATAAACCGAGAGCTACCCACACGGAAGCCACGTAACGCAACGTAAATGAAATAATCCACAGTTAATTTATCATTATATGTATTTATTTTACTATTTAACTGGTAATACGTAATACATAGGTACTAATAATAAACTAATAACAAAATAACAAATATTACTAGTACGTACTTGTTCATAGCTACATTCCTACCTACCAAACGAAGGTGTTTGAAAAATAAACACAAACTTTTATCCAGCCACAACGGCATGTCACGTAAGATTTAAAAATAGTTATTAATAACAACAAAAAAGTAACGCACTATCAGAAACATAAACATTGAAAAATGAAAAAGCACGAGAAGACTCATCGAAATTTTTTTTAATGTTTGCAGTATAATTTGATACAGCCATTCGAATACAATTATCCAAATGTTCATCTGTAGGTTGATTACGATATTTGTTCTTAATAAACTTCATATTAAAAAAAGAAGATTCACACAAATAGGTTGAACTGAATAATGATTTCACTTTCAAGGCAACATGGCATAGAACTGAATATTTGTCTTTACTTACAATAGGCCAGATACATTTGGTATTTGAGACTAACGATTTTAAGGCTAAATCATTTTGAAACTCAATTACTTCCATTTCTGTTGCCGCGATGTTTTCGCCAAAGTTCTGCATAACACAAGTTTCAAA